AACATTTCTTTATATCCTGTTATGGAAGTATAGTTCAGCTGCCTTTACTTGGCCACTAAAATAAATAAAGTGCATTTTGTTTTATTAGTTTAAAAGCATCACACACGCAGTGAGATGCCAGTATGCAATAAATGAGACAGTAGCCTCTGATGGAAAATGCCCAGTAGAAAGACAACATTTAATCCAGAATGAAAAAAAAAGAAAAATCACCCCTGTTGAATTTAGAAGCACCATCACGACAGAGTTACATCTAGTATTTCATCATTCTTTTCTCTGACACCATCAAAATGGTAATTTAGTGAATGAAAGTCAGATTTATATATAGCAGATCTCTCTCTGTATGTCTCGGATATGCTGTCACCCTCATTACATAAATTATAGTATGCGTGAGAATCAGAAAATCTCACAAGATGATACTATTACAGTTTGAGTGGTATCGCGATATAAAATGATTCTGTGATGAGACAAGATATTCATCACAAATTCTGTGTAACTGAGTAAAGAAAACCACTAAAAAGGCAGAAGGCAGTAATCATGTATACTTTTAATTCACTTGTAATCAGCATGAGTATGTATGTTATCGTTATTATCTGATAATAATTCAATATGCCATCTTAACAAGTTAGTTCTTGGATTTGCCGTCTTGTGTGTTCGTTCTATTTCACTGCAAATACTGTTTCCATCCCCTTTATCAATTTTATTTGATAAGCACCAACAAAAAGAGTCAGGAAGTGCCTGCATGGATATTTATAGGATATCTGTATTGCTTTATATATATATATATGACCATCGTAATGACAGTAAGTAAGGTGTTTGCCTTTTCATACAATTTCTATCGTACTGTAAGTTTCTGAAACGCAGAGAATCTTAGTTGCATTTGAAACAGCGAAACCACATTTACGTTTGTTGGAAGCATAAATTGTTTCTTGAGATAAAGATTTTAAAAAAATCTCTTATATTTTAGACTTGTGAGTGGGTACATTTGCATTAAAGTGAACAAATTACAGAGCACTGTGGGTTATGACCTTTCTGCTGTGAGTGATATAAGTGCCTCTTAGCCACCTGTTGTAACTGCTGACATTAGCAGCTGACATCTATATGAATGTTTTCCTGAAAAACAAAACAATTCACCCACAAAGACGACAATGCATATCCAGTCCATCTTATGAGCTAATCTTGGACCCAGTGCTAAAATGAATGACCGTAAGGACCAGGTCATATCAGGGTTGATTTACCTGTTGATGGAGCATAGCGTGATTAAAAATAACACGATTACTGTGGTTTAACTGACATATAGATTGAGATATATGGTGTCAGGGAAGAACATCTTACTTTAATGGAAAATATTAACAAGAGTTACTGAACTTGATGATGATGATTCCTGACTTACAAATCAAACAATGACAGTAAAGTGTGTAAACAGCTCACTGGTCGGGGATGTTTTACCCAAGGATATCAAAGAAACAAAGTTTCATGATTACCTGAACCCTCACCATCCTCGTTAACTCGAAGAAACCTCAGAAAATAAAAGTTAGCCTTTTCCATCAGTTACACAGTCGATGCTAAAGAGTAAAAGCACTTTAAACAAACTAAGTCAAACTCTGAGTGGAGACTTGGGCTGAAATTGGCCATTTACTGTGCCAAACTGGTGTGATTTTCTACAACAGCAGACTATTCAGTTCTGCTTTTAATGTTGCTGAATGGACTAACACCCACATCACAACTGTCAGTTTCAAGCATCTCTCTCACTCTTCTCTCAGCCTATTGTCTGTCCACCCCCCCCACTCCATTTCCTCTTCCACCATTGGTTAAAAAGCAAACTGTGTGTATGTGTGTCGATGAGTCAGCATGAGTGGTGGGTGTGAGATATAAACGGCATGGGTGGCTGTGGGGGAAGGGGGAGGGGGGGGTGAAAAAGAAAGTAAAGTGGAGGACGGAAGCAAAAGAGAAAGAAAGAGAAAAGCAAGAAAGTAGGTAGGACGCGCACACGCACGAGGTGGACAGGGTCACGCTTATATTCTTGTTTTCATATTTCTCAGTGTTTAAAGGAAAAGCATGTGAGGAACATGAATGAGCAACATAACAGTGTAAAGGTGTACCCTGAACATCCACACCAGCTAAGCTATTTGAATCATTGAAAGAAACATACCTGAGGTTTGACCAATTAGAGTTCTACACATAGTTACAAACACCAGCAACCTATTATGTGAGAGATACAATGCAGTTTTATGTTCTTTGTAGCGAAGGCTGTCATTATCTTGGGGTTTCGATTTTCCTGTGCCAGAAAATAATTACTGCTTTTGAGGCTATTTTAGCACCACACGCTGCACTTCAAGTGAAATTATTTATTTTCTTTTTGAGAACAAAAGATCGAACGACGTATTCATCAAAACACTTGTGCCGAGAGCTTCTTGCTGTGACACGTTTTACGCTTTGCAGCCCATTTGTAGGTTTACAACAAACACCACTTTTTTCTGGCTTCATTTCTTTTTCCTGTTTTCCTTATAAGACTCGATGATGCATTTTGAGAGGTTACTCACACAGACGGCTTTTGATTTAATTTAAGAAAATGTTTTGAAAGACATTAAGATTTATACATTTATGTTAAAATAATATGAAATGTAATAAAAAAAAAAAACTGCCTAGATTTTGTTTGTATAGACCTGAATAGGTTAAAGATGACTTCGAGTGAGTCCCAAATTAAGCCACTTCTATATTCTGTGCCGACTGATCACCTTTAAAAGGCAAATTAAATGTTTTTCTAAACTTTGATGTCAAACATGCATCATGTCATGTTTGATGGCTGTGTTGTCAGCTGGAGTTTAATGTATGGCTGTAACGAACAGCTGTAACTAAACAGAGACAGAACTCCGTCCTGTGGCAAGTGTCTAAATCCATAGCTGGTTTGTGTCCACCTGCTCTCTGTATGCTTTAGTACTGATTTAGGATTTTGCTGAGCACGCCTGGGTCCGACTTTAAACCACTTAGCAGAAAAATCAGCTCCATAATAACAAGTTCACAGAAGAAAGAAACATAAGAAAACAAAAGAATGTTTTGCTTTTTCATCAAAAACTTGGTAAACTGTGTTTTTAAGGATGTCATATCAATGCAACAACAGTTATTGTTATTGCTCAGATATTTTGTAGCTATATAAACATCTTAACACATATCTTGCATTATGCATGTGTTTGCAACTTCGACCCTAACCACAGGTTACAAAAATACAAGTATCTTAGTCATCACAATTTACTGTGATTTGGTACTGAAAACCTATAGTGGTCAAACCTTAAAGGTAGTCCTGTGTCAGTGTGAGGGGTGAAGTGCTCTGATGTAAAGGAAGAGGCAAAGGACAGAGGAGAAATATAACAAAAAGGGGGGGATAAAGATGAAAAGAACAAAGAAAGTGGCGGTGG